TTTCCACAGCAGAATACCTTTGGCCTTCGATGGTTTTCACAGAGAGATTAAGTGACCTACCTAAGGTCACACTGTAAGCCAATGGAGGAAGTAAACAAAGCAAAACCACAAATAACGATATCTACCTTTATTGGGTTTTTACCATGTGCTAGGTACAGTGCTAAGGGAATTATATGCTTTCCTTTATTATCCCTCACATCATTAGTACTTTATGATGGCTCTCATACAATCCCCATTTTGCAGGTGAGGAAATAGTTTAAGAGAGGTGAATCACCTGCCCAAGTACACACAGCTAGTTAAGTGAGTGGAGAGGGATTTGAACCCAGATAGTCTGAAGACACAGTCCACACCAGTAACCGCTTTGATCCAGTGAGTTTGTGAGTCACCTCCGTCTCAAGAAAATCAACTGATTTGGCTGGGCAGAGCCCTGGGGGCTAGGGAGAGAAAACACTCTGACTCCTTCCTCTATATCCCTTTTCCTTCCCCCATTTTCCATTCTTTTTCTGGAAGGTAATTGCTTGGGGCAGTGACAACCTCCCTGGCGAATTACACAGCTGGTTTCCCAGTGAGATTTGTAACAACAACCCTGCCAGCCTGGCAGCCCCCAGCAAGTTCCGGTTTAAGAAACTAATTGCTGGATTGTGTAGTTGGTGCTAAATTGGGTAATTTCTTGGTGACGGCATCTGTGCCACTTCTTCCATTCCCAGATAGATTCAAGCTCTATCAGAGAAGAATTTGTCACACAAGGCACCCTCCCAGACTCCTTCGCTTCCCACTTCCCAGCCAGCCACAAGTGACTTACAGAAGTGGCTGCTTTCCCGGCCCAGTGGTTCATCATCTGGGCAGCTCCTTGTGTCCTGGGATAGTGGAGAGATGACTTAGTGCAGTAAAGTGGGGAAAATAATGGCAGCACCCAGAGTTGCCACAGGGCTTCAGAGTGCTTGTTTTATTCTGTGCTCGTCTAACTTTAGTCTTGGCATAAACTCGCCATGCAGGGGAAAAGGTTAAATCATGCACTGGTTTGCTCTGGAGTGTGTGATGTAGGTGAGGTCTTTTGATTGGTTTGTTTGCTAAACAAAAGCAAAAACATCCAAATGCACTATTTCCTTCAGAATGGCATTGGGTAAGTGACTTCTCTGGGCTAACAGCACAGACAGTGGAGAAGTTAAGGCTTTGGAGTTAGGCAGCGCTGGGTTTGACTTCTGGCTTTGCTACCGGCTTCGGCTTTCAGTGTGACTTTAGGATGGTTAATTAGCTTCTCAAAGTCTTATTTTCTTTTTCTATAAATTGGGAGGGGTGGGGATAATCTCCATCTCTTGAAATGGTTTTGGGAATCAGATAAAATATCACAAATGGAAGGCTCTAAAAAGTCTCTCAACAAGCATCTGCCACGTGCCAGGCACTGTGCTAGGTGCTGGGGAGAGCACAGCCACTGAGACGGACAAGATTCCTGCGCAGAACTTGCATTCTAGCAGGAGAGACAGGTGATCTCGGAATCACACAAATTTAAAATGGTAACGATGTAAGAGCCAGGTCCGTGGTGCCTTGAGAGCAAACAGCAGGGGGATCTGACCTACTCAGGGAGGCCAGAGAAAGCTTCCCCGAGGAAGCAACCACTGGGCTGAGATCTGAAGGGAATGCAGGAGGCAGCAAGGCAGAGGTGGGCCAGAAAAGCATTGGGGACAGTGGGAATAGGCCCCATGATGTGAAGGATCATGGAACTGAAAAAAGACTGGCATGGCTGAAGCAGAGAGAGCAAGGAGTGGGCATGTGGTGAGAGGATGTCGGAAAGCAGGAAGGGACACACCGTGCTGGCCTGGTCAGACAGGTGAAGGTGCTTTATCCTAAGCATCATCAGGAAGCCAGTGAAGAATTTAAAGCAGAGAAGCCACATGATCAGATTAGCGTTTCCAGATGATCATTTGGGTTGGAGAAGGGTAAGAGCTGAAACATGGAGACCAGTTGGGAGACTTTTGCAGATGTACAGGCAGAAGGTGGTGTTCGGAGGTGTAGCTGGATTCGTTCGTAGCGCTTTCTGCTGCACATGCAGAAAATCTGGCCCAGGGAGGTTTAAAATAGAGTTCATTCCCGATCACAGCAGGCCTGGGGAAAGGCAACCGCTTGTGTTGCTTCCTGGCTCCTTGGTGCCAGGACTAACATCCCTGCCATTGCCGAGGGCTTTCTCTCACGGTGGCAAGATCGCTACCCTCATTCTGGCCATCGTTATTTTATTCTGGCCAAAAAGAAGGGGAGGAAAGATGGCACTAGCAAGCTCCATCCTTTTTGTGACAAAGGCAAAACAATTTCCCAGAAACCCTCACCTAATTTTTATGTTTTGTTTTGAAGTCCTGAGGATTGAACTTGGTGGTGGGCTACCACTGAGCTACATTCCTAGCCTCATTTTTTTTTTTTCCCTAAGACAGGGCCTTACTAGGTTGTCCAAGCTGGCCTTGAATTTGATCCGCCTGTCTCAGTCTCCTGAATAGCTGAGATTACAGGTGTGGCCACAGTGCCTGGCTCATCATATGTTCATGTATATATATCGTTAGTCAAAACTGAATCACGTGGCCTGAAGTTACATGGGAGGCTGGGAAAGGGAGGAGGTTAGGAATGAGTTTTAGCTAGTCAGCCAACAGTGATTGGTGGCAACAGAAATAAATGGGTACATTTATTTTTAGGAAGCAGAATCCATAGGACTGGGTGATAGATTATGAATCTCTTCCTCACTTGTTTTTCCTTTCCCTAGATCATGTCTAGTATGAGTAAATGGCTGTGCTGAAGAGAGGTGCCAAAATAGTGGGGACAGAGGGTGAAGGAATGTGGCTGTGAAGCATAATATATAGGAATAAATCAGTTGATAATGAATTTTTTTTGTTTAGGAAATCCATAAATTAGATATCTTTTCCCCCCAGTAACTTGGATTTTTTAAAATACCCTTTACTGTTTGGACACTGAGGAATTCAGAATTCCAAAATAAATGCCTCACATGAGACATTACATTGCACGATATTTTAGAGTTTATAAAGTGGTTTTGTATGCATTGTGTCATTCGATATGCACTGAAGTGAGCAGGGATCTCTACAGAGAAGTTGGGTCACTTGTCTGGGTTGTATACCTTCTGGTCTTGAGACTGTGCTCTTTCCACTAGACAGTGCTGCCCTGTAGGACATGGGTCAGGGAGCCAGAAGGGTCTGTATGGAGAGGAGTAACTGTAAGGACTTATCTCCTCTGAGAATACAGCCAGGAGAATATGGATCAATTTTAAAGAGACTGAAGTTTGTAAAGCTCTTGATCACAGCTTACCTATGTGAAGCTGGATACAGAGAGCAACTGAGAACATCTACCATTGGGAAGTTCAGTGTGAGATTCCAGCTTAATAGGACTGCAAACCAACCAAATGGGATTGTGTGCAGCTCTACCAAAGTGGCCTTTGGTGCTCTGCATCTCAGACATGGGTCCTGCCTGGGCCAGGAAGAGGAGTGAGCCATGGACAAAGGACCCAGGCTGTCAAAGCTTCTATCCAAGGTGTGAAACGTTTGCAAGTGCTTTTCCAAGTGCCTAGGAGGCAGCCATCTTGGTCTGAAGTGCCCTCTGTTACCCCAGGAAAGGGCAGTAAAAGAGAAGAATTGTCATAGATCCAGGCAGCTGATATCTGTGAGGTCATCCCAGTCTCTCTCCAGGCAAGATAACCAGTAGCCACTTCAGTTCAGTTCCCAGGGTGAGCTTGGAGCTAGGCAGATCTCACACTCTCCTCTATGGAAGATTCCCAGGAGACTCCACAATCTTCTTCATTGTCTCACATCCCTCAGGGTCAGGAAGTTCTTCCTGATGTCTGACTGCGTCTCTTCACTACTATTAATCATGCTTGCAAAGCTAGCTCTTCTTCCTGACATCCCTGTGTCTAATAATGGCATCATTAGTCTTCCAGTCACGGCTGCTGCAAACTTCAGAGTCGTCTTCCTTTCTGACTCCCTCTCTCTCCTTCCCACTGTTCTCCAAATCCTGTCTTTCTACTGGAACTTTCTCTTTATTTGTACAACTCTTCTGGCTTGTGCTTGCCTTTCCTCCATTGGGAGTTATCTCCCCTCCACCTTTGTGAAATACACAGCCATCTTATACTCTAATTCGGTACCCTCTTCTCTGAGAAGTCTTCCTTGATTTCTCTCTACTGAATGGTCTTGCTCTCATCTGAACGAGCCTAATATTTTGGCACCTCTCTCCAGCACAGCCATTTACTCATGTACTTAGTGTATGTTTATTAAAGATTAGGTCTGAGCAAAGCCCTAGATTAGATTCTAGAGATCCAGAGATGAATAGGACTTGGTTCCTACCCCGCAGAAGACTATACTGGAGGGGAGGAGAAAGAAATGGCAACAATTTCAGTGCAGTGTGATAGTTGTTTCATGGGGCCACCCTGGGTGTTATAAAAGCCCAGTAGAGAGGCATAACCCAGAATGAGAGTACAGAAAGTCTTCAAGGGAAGGTGGGGCTTAATGTAAGTGTTAGCTGGGGTTGGGAGGTTTGGGGCAGGTAAAAGGAAATTCTAGGAGGAGGGAACAGCTCATGTAAAAATATAGGGACCTGAAATAACTCTGTCATACGAAAGGTTGTTCCCTGTTAAACTATAGACCCCTTGAGGACAGGGATCACATTTAAATTACCTCTATACAAGTCTCATTCAGAGTTTTACTCATGGTAGCTGCTCAAAATGTTTGTGGAAGGCAGCCATATTTAAGGGCAGTGAAAATGCTGTGGCTCAGCACCATGGACAGATCACACAGACACCTGCAGTTGGAGGTAGTCCAACCTGTGAGCTCATTTGCATGCATTTGCATAATGAAGCCAACCTCATTTCCCTGGGGGTCTGAAGGCTCTGCATCATGGGGGATCCAATCAGTCTTGGTTTTGGGGGTTGGGAAGGGAAACTGTCAGGGCCAGAGACCAAAGGACTTCAGAAGAATCTCTTTTCTCTTTTGCTGACCACTTCTTTCTTTTCTGTTAGGATCCAGTGGTCCTGAGCCTTCTGAAGTTAGGATTCTGCCTGGTGGTGGGGATCCTGGCATCAAGGATGGGATACCCCGGATGGTGAGTGGTAGGAAATTCTGGGAGATGGGATTAGATTCAGGTTCTCAAATCTGAATAATTGGAGTTTGTGTAGCCTTACTATTTTGAGCTCCAGTTTCTCATGGTAAGTGTGGATAATATCTGCATGATAGGCTGTCAGTGGGGTTAGGGTGTTAAGTATGCACAGTACCTGGTAAATAGGAAGTGTTTAGGAAGTAGTATGAGATTAACTGTGAGCAGGGTTTGGAAGAAGCCTGAAACAGGGTGGGTGTGGGGAGGTGGTGGTGGGAGGAAGGGAGATGGAGTCTCAGAGGTGCTGCTGTCTGGAGTCTTCTGGATTGTCATCCCCTCCTAGTCAGCAGATGGCCCAGGACATGGTCTGGGATGAGGGAGAGCTCCGTCTGCCAGCTCCTTCGTCCCTGTCCTTCCTGCTGTCACCCCCTCCTGCCATAGCTCCTGTCCTGGCAGCTCCTGGAGTTCTGATTGGAGGCAGCTCTTGCTGAGAGTTGACCTCTCTGTCTGTAGCCTTGGCAGCCTGGGATGGGGGCCAGGGACACAGGTTCCAGACCTTCTTCTTCATCACCCCTCTGCCTTGCCAGCCCACTGTTCCTAGGAGGAGGAACTCCTGGGTTCCAATCCCAGTTTAGGATTCAGATACTACCTGTATAGCCAGCATCCCTGCTCTATGGCTTTTCCTCCCTCCTTGATTCCCCCACCCCCACCCTAGTGGAAAGAAGCTGTGGGAGGGGGTACATGACAAAAGGGGAAATTTCACTAGAGAATATTTGGAGCCCAGAATATTTCCCCGAAGAGGCCTTTCATGCTCATAGAGGGTGGGAGCAGCCACAGCTTCTGCATAAGCTGGCAGCCCCAGTGGAGGAAACAGGAGGAGTCATCTCAGGTTTTCCTTCCTGTCTCAGTGATGGGGGTGGGGGAATGAGCCTGCAGCCAGATGGAAGGAACTGGGTGTGGAAGGAAGGGGAGGGATTTTTCTGTGAAATGGTGCTAGATATGTAGATTTGAGTCCAGTGTTCTCTGGTCACATGGCTGGGAGCTGTGACCCTGAGGCCTGGCACCTATGGTAGTAGGCTGTGGAGTAGGGTTGGGACAGGTGTAGAGTTCTGGATCTGTTTGCCTAAACCCAGCATGTTAAAAGTTAGTTCACCTAATGACTGGTTTCCTTGACTATTTGGTGTGTTTGCTGTGGATTTCCTTTTGTTTTTGATAACCTAAGGATATTTAAAAACCCATTTGGCTGAGAGGATTTCCTCTTGTGAATAACTATATATCAAATTTGCAGCATTTGATGAATGATGGGATTATTTTGTGTCCTTGTGTCTTTGTCTGTTTTGACTATTTTAAGGACTTTTCAGCCCATTTGTGGAAAAGTAGTACAATTAATCACAATAAATTGATACCTAAAGGAATACAAGACTGCCTAATGAAAGATGGTTTTAGGTGAAGTAGCTTGTTCGGTTTGAAACCCATTTCTCCCTATTTTCCCAGGAGGTTCCTGGGGCCTGGCCCCCAACACTATGAAGAGCCTTTGCTGAGGCCATGAGGGGTTACCATGGCGACCGAGGCAGCCATCCCCGCCCAGCCCGCTTTGCTGACCAGCAGCATATGGACGTGGGCCCAGCTGCCAGGGCCCCATACCTGCTGGGCTCCAGGGAGGCCTTCTCCACCGAGCCCCGCTTCTGTGCCCCAAGAGCTGGCCTGGGACACCTTTCTCCAGAAGGTCCCCTGAGCCTGAGTGAGGGGCCATCAGTAGGCCCTGAGGGAGGGCCAGGGGGGGCTGGGGCAGGGGGGGGGAGCAGCACCTTCCCCAGGATGTACCCCGGCCAGGGCCCCTTCGACACCTGTGAAGACTGTGTGGGCCACCCTCAGGGCAAGGGTGCCCCGCGCCTGCCTCCCACACTCCTGGATCAGTTTGAAAAGCAGTTGCCCGTTCAGCAAGATGGCTTCCACACGCTACCATACCAGCGAGGTCCAGCAGGGGCTGGGCCTGGGCCAGGGCCAGGTTCTGGCGCTGCCCCAGAGGCTCGAAGCGAGAGTCCCAGCCGCATCCGGCACCTGGTTCACTCTGTGCAGAAGCTCTTTGCCAAGTCCCACTCTCTGGAGGCACCTGGAAAGCGGGACTATAATGGGCCTAAGGCCGAGGGAAGAGGTGGTTCTGGGGGAGACAGCTACCCTGGCCCAGGCTCTGGAGGCCCCCACACCTCCCACCACCACCATCACCATCACCATCACCACCACCATCAGTCCCGGCATGGCAAGAGGAGCAAGAGCAAGGACCGCAAGGGGGATGGGAGGCACCAGACCAAGGCCGCCGGCTGGTGGAGCTCCGATGATAACTTGGACAGTGATAGTGGCTTCCTGGGGGGTGGGCGACCCCCTGGGGAGCCTGGTGGTCCCTTCTGCCTGGAGGCTCCAGATGGGTCCTACCGGGACTTGAGCTTCAAGGGACGCTCAGGCGGGTCGGAAGGCCGCTGCCTTGCCTGCACTGGCATGTCCATGTCACTGGATGGACAATCAGTCAAGCGAAGTGCCTGGCATACCATGATGGTCAGCCAGGGCCGGGATGGATACCCCGGGGCCGGGCCGGGCAAGGGGCTTCTGGGTCCGGAGGCCAAGGCCAAAGCCAGGACTTATCACTATCTGCAGGTGAGGCTTTGTGGGGGTGGGGAACAGGGTCCTCAGCCCTCACCAGTCTTGTCAGCCAGGAAACAGGGAAAGGGTTGGATGGGAACCAGCTGACCCTCTGATGGAGGGCACGAATGCAGAGAGGTGCCACTTGCCTCACTGTGTCACCCTGAGCCCCTGTTGGGGCTTTAGTTCCCCAGTTTGTGCAGTGCAGGGGCCCTTCTTCTGATGATGCACATCAATGCCAGGAAGACTTCTCACTGACCTACTGTTTTGGACAAGGTGTGCTGACCTCTATCTTATGAGATTGGAGGCAGAATGAGGTTGAGAAAAGGCAGTGCATAGCGTGAAGCTCTCTGACCCTAGCTGCCCTTTAGCTTGGAGGTTGACAGTTGGAAAACAATTCTCCTGGCCCAAAGCCTTCTCCTGAACTTTACTGCTCAAATCAGAGTGGTCCAGATGTTTGAATATGAAGGCCAGTTTCCAGTATATGCTTCTGCTGAGGTTTGTCATTCTTGGGTACCTGTGGTGGGAAAGCCGGTGGGGGCAGGGTGGCGGGGTATGGAAGAGCCTCGGGTCACTGTCTTGTGAGTTTTCCTAGGCTGAGGACATGCTGAAGTCTGAGCCCTGATTTAATTCCAGGTGGTGTTGGGAGTGGAGTTTCTGACAATAATTGGCATGCTCTCCCCATCCTGTTTTACTATCTCTGAGGCCTCTGCTGGCGAGGCTAAGAGTTTTGACCTCTTCTGATGGACCCTTCATCGCACCCTCTGCCAGCCCAGTCTGTTTTATTGAGCTCTCCTGTACTTTTAGAAGGAAAAGTCAATAAAAGTTCTGGAGGTCCAGCAGACTTAGGGTTATCTCCTAAACCCACATTCCTCATAGATGATCAATCCACATTCATTCATTCCATGAGCATTTACTTTGTGCTCAGATGGGTACAGAGTTGAAGACATAGACGCTGCTTGTGAGAACTCACAGTTTAGGAGGAGTGGACAAGGAAGCAGCTGGAATAGAGTATGATTGGCTGTGACAGAAGAGAGTCCTGGGCACCATGGGGACACAGGAGTCCCCTCACCTACCTGGTGATGGTGGCCAGGGGTGGCTTGAAACAGCTTCTAGGAGGAATGTCCCCTAAATGGAGTGTCAGCAGAGGAGTTGGAGTTATTTGAGTGCAGATTAAAAGTGTTCCAGGAAGAGACTACAGGCTGTTCAGAGGTGTGGAGAAGTGAGCCTGCATGTGTCTTTTGGGTGTTTTCAGCCTTGCTGGTAAGTTGTTCACACATTAAGGTTCTCCTGGGGAAACTCTTGAAAGCCCAGAGGAGAAAATAGGGCCATTGTGGAAGTAGAAAGGGACTTCTGGGATTCGGGACTTGTGGGTTGGCCTTGGATTGCCTCCTCCTGGGTAGGAAGGTGCTCTAAGCTGAACTTTGAAGGATGCAGGGAGTGAACAGCCACTATTCCTCCCCTATAACCGAGCCCTTGCCATCCCTGGAGGCCTGCCACCATTTTGCTGCTCCCCGCTGCTTTTCCAGGGCTGCCCTGACCTCCCTGGGGGCTTCCTTTTTAACATGCACCTCACAGTGTCCTGCAGAGGAGCGAGGAACTCTGCAGTGGCTACGGAGTGGGAGCCCTGCAGTGTGGCCGAGCCTGCCCTGGCTGGCCCATCTGCTGACTTATCTGCTGCTCCCCTCTGTACAGCATGGGGAAAGGGAATGGTCCTCAGGGTCTGGGATTCCAGGGTGTCATGGAGTGGGAAGTCCGAGCTCCTTTAGGTGAGAACCAAGGAGCTGCAGGAGCCTCCCAGACAGCCTGGCACTCCCCAGTGCACAAGCAGGGGGGCTGGCTCCATCAGACTGGGTATTTTCTTCAGACTCCTGGACCTTTTGTTCAAGTCCCATTTCTCTCCCTAGACACCAGCCCTTCCTCAACCCTTTTCTGGGTCCTCTCTTTCCATTCTGAGCCTTGTTCCTTTAAGGAGCCTCATCTCCTTTCTATATTCCCATTTCCCAGCCCTGACCCCTTGCTGAGTCCTGCTCTTCCTTGAGGGTTCCTTCTTGGGCTCTCATTCCATCCCTGGTCCCCAGTTCTCATACTGATCCCTGTCCTTATCCCTCCCTGGAGCCCTAGACTCTCCTGAGCCTTGTCCCCTCTTGGAGCCCTGTCTTTGCCCTGTGCAGCCTCTTCTTTACAACAAGTGTTTTAAGTCCTATTGGCTCCCCTCGTCGTCTCCCCTGGCCTTCACTTAGATGACATTCTTTGCAAATGTAGGTGATCCTCGTGGACTCCCTCAGAGGAAAAGCCAGGACCACCTAGCTCAGGCTGATCCCTTTACAAAGGCTTGAGCCCATCCTCCTCCATCCCTCAACTGTCCCCTTTCTAAAAGAAAATCTTTACTGTCTTTTCATCCTGAAAACATGCTCAAAGTCACTTTCACCCTAAAAACATCTTTCCTCAATTTCACTGCCCCTTGTGCTTCTTGCTTCCCTTTCTACCTGAGTTCTTAGGGTCTACTCTCTTCGCTTCCTTTTCCTTCTGCCCCTCACAACCCCTGACCGCTGAAGGGACCTGGTTTCTGAGAGCTACCTTCAAAGGGTACCTTCCATACCTATAATAATAGTTAACATTTATTGATCACTCTCTGTGTCCAGGACACTCGGTATCGGTTTATTTAACTTTCCCAACAACCCTTTGTTGTAGGTATAATTCCATTAGCAGTTCCCCGACAAGAAAGCCAGGTTGATGCTTAGTGATTAATCGGTTTTGCTCAAGTTCACCTAGCTAGCAAGCAGGGGGCCAGAATTTGCTTATGGATCTTCCAACTCCGAAGCCTGAGTTACTAACCTCTGAACGCACTGTGGCATTTGACATAATCAACTTCTTTTATTCTCGAGATGTCTCCTGTTTCTATGACATGGCATTCTCCTGACTTCCCTCCCACCCTCCTGCCCACTCCTTCTCAGGTGACTCCACAGGCTCCTCTTCTGTTCTTCACAGCCCCCTTTTAAATGTCAGTGGATTGCTCTTAGCTCTCTTCCTGTATCCCCTGGGTTGTCTCCTTCTCTCCTATGGATCCAGCTGCCACCATGACTCCCACAGGTCTACCTCTAGCTCCAGTCTCCCTGCTGAACCCCAGACCAAACATCCAACCACCTCCTTAACAGTTCTGGGCCAAACTCAAGGTGCTCAACCCCAAACCTATCACCTCTCCCCAAGCCGATGGCTCCGGGGTTCTGTGGCTCAGTGAGCAACTGCACCCCGCCCCCCAGGTCCTCAGCCATCAGCCTGGCAGTCATTCTTAACTCCCCCCACGGCTAATCAGGCTCACTGATGCTCCTTAACACCTCTCATCTGCATCTCCTCTTCCCCCTCATTGTCACTGTCTTAATTTAGGCCTCATCATCTCTTGCCTGGATAACAGCCTCAGCCTCTTAATTGGTCTCCCACCTGCCACTTGAGCCCCTGCCCTGCTCCTGGTCCTCCACCCTGCAGCCTCCGTCTGGGCTGTCGAGGGCTCCCTCTGAACACAAATCTGATGTGTCCTCTGCATAACATCCTCTTTGGCTCCTCACGGGGTCGAGCAGAGTCAGAGGATGCAGCAGGCGAGCTGGTTCAGAGGATGGAAGAGGAAGGATAGAAGGTGCCTGAGGTCAGTGGATACTTCACTGCCGGGAGCGGGATTGACAAAGGTCACTTGGGCTTCTGATCTTCAGTCAGCCTGTCAGCACCTGGCAGGTTACACCCCAGACTCTCTAAGTGGCCCTCAGTTAAGTGGCAGGAGGTCCCGGGAGGATGAAGGAGTCTCTCCTTCAAGGGAGGGGCGCCCGATCTGAGACCTCCCTTCTTGTTCCTCCTCTGACTGCTCATGAACCTGGTCTGCCCCAACCAGGGAGCCCCCCACTGGCAGTAGAGGTAGAGGATCCTGGCCCCTAAGTTGACAAGGGACATGTCTGAGAGACAGAGGCCCTTGTCCCTGCAGGTGCCGCAAGATGACTGGGGGGGTTACCCCACGGGTGGCAAGGATGGGGAGATCCCCTGCCGTAGGATGCGGAGCGGCAGCTACATCAAAGCCATGGGGGATGAGGAGAGCGGCGACTCCGACGGCAGCCCCAAGACATCTCCCAAAGCAGTTGCCCGGCGCTTCGCCACCCGACGCTCCTCCAGCGTGGACCAGGCCCGGATCAAGTAAGGACAGGGAGGGCTGGCAGTGGGTGTCAGGAAGCTGATGCTGGGTTTCTGCAGTTGTGTGCAGAGTGGGTTCCTGTTGGGCAGCCCTGCAAAGGGTTCAAGTGGGGTATCTTTCTCTGCCCCATATGAAGGGGAAGGATTTGATCATAGTTCCTGTCTGAGTGCCTTTTGCGGGGATGGGGGGTGGTGGTGTCCTCTTTACCCAATGTCTCCTAGGGGATCTCTGGAGGTTTCTGAGGAACAGAACCTTGTCAGAAGTCCCATTGCCTTCATTTCCCTTAGCAGACCCCCGTTCTGACATTGACATTTTGACCTTTTCCAGCTGCTGTGTCCCACCCCGGATTCACCCCCGGAGCTCTATCCCTGGCTACAGCCGTTCCCTCACCACTGGACAGGTAGGGAGAGGCCAGTGCACCTGGAGGGAAGGGAGGAGGGGGGTGTTCCGGGCCATATTCATCCTAGGCCTTGAAACCAGAGGTCTGGCCAAGGGGAGAGCTCAGACCTGGTTCTGGTGAAACTGGGAAACCTGCCTTGAGTCTCCCGGAGCTACTCAGACTGGGGGGTCTCAGTCACATCTGCGGAACCTGCCAAGAATTCTCAAGGTTATGAGCTTGTAAGGAAGGACAACACTCCTTCTCTGAGGGTCTCTGGCCCTCTTCAGGCCTGACTGCTTCCAGCCCACCCCCATGCAAAGAGGGGGATTGATTTGTACAGATAGGACATGGGCCAAGCTGCAGCCTCCCAGGCGATCTGGGCCTGAGTTCTGCCCCTACCACCTCCATCCCTTGGGACCCCCAGTGAGATATCTTACTTCTCAATGCCTCTCTTTTTTCATCTTTAAAATGACAACAGTAGTGGTAGTTATCTCTCAAGAGATTTGTGAGAGTTCAGCGGAAAACTGCATTCAAACACAAGGTACCAGTCCCAAAATTGGTATTTTGTACGTGTGAGTTTCATCCCTAAGTGTAGGCTTTCTCTTTAATTAAGCAGAGACAGCTGCAGTCTAGTCATTAAATCTGGAGATGGTCTTGAATTCCAGCTCAGCTACTTACCAGCTGAGTGACCTGGGGCTAGTAACTTGACTTTGTTTGAGCCCCACTTTCCCTATTTAAAAATAGGCATCATAATAGTGTTCTTGGCACATGGCCAGCACTCAATAAAGGTTAGCTATTTTTGCTGTTTGCTGGGGGAAAAAGCAAGGCAAAAAGTGATGCAGAAGACTGTCCACACCGACTCCCATTGTTCCCCACAGCGCTTTCTCAGTATTCCTTTGTTACATTTCCTGAATCAGGGAATCTTATTGGCACAGCTGTCTTTTCACATCACACCAACCTATGTTGCTAAACCCACTAGTTAATGCTCAGTTCTGGTGTTACTCGACCCATCAGTAACATCTTACCCAGTTGCTAACTCTCCTTCTTGAAACATTTTTTTTTTTTTCTCCTTGACTTTGGACACACCAGACCCTCAAGATTCTCCCCCTGGCTGCTTAATCTCACCTGTGTGCTGGATGCCTCTAAGACTGTAGGATTTCAACATTGGAGTTTTCCAGGGCTCCTGGACTGCTTCTACACCCACTCCTTGGGTGATCTCATCTAGGCTCATGGCTTTGAATATTACTGAGAGCCTGATGACTCCTCTGGATACACAACCCCAGCCCCAATCTTCCCAGGAACACGAGGCACATTTATCAAGCCGTGTATTGAAATCTCACTGGGATGTCCAGTAGAGATCTCAAACTGGAGATGCCCAAAAGTAAACTGCTGACACCCCCTTTCCCTCCTCCATGGATTGGTGCTCCACCCACCATCTTCTCCTTTTCAGATAGCATCAACTTTGTTCTTTCAGGAACTCGGTCTGAAAGTTCAAAGTCAGTGCTTTTCTTACTTTTTTTTTTTTTTTTGGTGTGTGTGTGTGTATGTGTGCTGGGATGGAACCCAGGCCCCCAGACATGCTAAGCATGTCCTCTGCAGCCATGCAATACCCCTAACCCATGAAGTCAATCTGTTTTTTTTTCCTCTCATATCCCCTATCTAATCCCTCAGCAAAGCCTCTGGGTCCCACCTTCAAAATGTCAAAATGTATCCTGGATCCAGCCACCCTTTACCACTTCTGCTGAAAGTTACCATGTCCTTTTGCCTGGGGTCTTACAGTGCCTTCTAGTTGGCCTCCTGGAACCTGCCCTAGCTTCACTTCATTCTCATCAGTGTGGACAGGGTGGTCATTTAAACAGATTCCTGCATTCATTTGCAAATCTGCTCAAAACCCTCACCCTTGCTCAGAGTAACCATCAAGGACTTTACCACGAGTTATAAGGCCCTGCGTGATTTGTCCAGTGCTGCCTCCAAGTTCCTCTCCAAACAAGGGTCCCTCTTCCACTGCAGCTGCACTAGACCCCCTGCTGTTCCTGGACACCTCACTGTGCTCTAGACTTAGGGCCTTTGCATCTGGGGCTCCCTCTGCCTGGGTGTCTCCTTCCCAGACACTGCCCTGGATCACTTCCTCACTTCTTTCAGATCTTTTCCCATATGTTCTAAAATTTTAATTTAACCACCCCTGCCCCCCCCACCCGCAACATTTCCGATTCCCTTTCCTCCTCCTTCTGCTCCTCTTCTTTTCTCCTCCTCCCACTTTACATTATCTAACATCACATATACTTGATATATTTCTCCTGGAGGAATGGCTTAGAATCTCTGCTTTACGGAAGAGGAAAGAGATTTAAAGCACCAGAGATGCCACCCTGTTATCTCTAATAATGCCTTTTCTCTTAAGTCTATTTTTTTTTTTGTTGAGTATTTGCCCAGAACATCTTTTTCCATCTTTGACTTTAAAGATTTTATTTTTGTCTGCTAATGTTTCAGGTATGTCTGTTGTAAATAGTCTGTGGTTAGATTTGATTTTATAACCATTTGATAATTGTTTGAGAGTTTAGTACGTTTATATTTATTGTGATTGCTGATACACTTGGATTTATTTCTGTCATCTTATATCGTGCCTTCTGTTTATCCTGCCTCCTGGGTGATACATTTCTACTCCTTTGCTGCCTCTTTTGGATTGATTGCCTCTTTTGGATTGATTCTTCTTCTGCCAAATCCCATGCTGGTTTGGCAGTTATGTATTCTATTTTATTCTTCATGGTTACCTTTATAATTTTAACGTGCATACTTGACTTAGCAGTTCAAACCTGATGGTTTTTTTTCCTACCTTCCCTCTGAACAATGCAAAGATCTTAGGACACTTAATTTTGATGACCTCTTCCATTCTTCTTTTTTTACGCAATATGAATTTATTTTCAGTGATATAGTTCTTTCCCAACATTCATGAGGCCATGGGTTCAATTGCCAGTGCCATACACACAAAAAGTTATTATCTCAGAGTTCTGGGTGCTAAAAATACAATGTTAAGTTGTGGTGGGGGTGGTTTCTCCTATTTAGGGACTTGTATTTTCATGTTGTTGTTTGAAGAATAAAACACACTGAATTTGATCAGGTACTGTTCATCTAATTTTCTCTTCATGGTTGTACTTTTGATATAAAATTTAAGAAATCTTTGCCTAATCCAAGATCATGAAAATTAATATTTCTTATACTTAATTTAGGTATGTGATCTATTTTGAGTTTTTTGGGGGAGTACTGTGTGTATGATTTGAGTTAGGGGTCCAACTTTATCCTTTTGCATTTTGATATCCAATTTTCTCAGCATCATTTTTTGAAAAGATTTTTCTTCCTCCTTGGCTCCTTTGTCAAAATCAATGTACTTATAAGTGTATGTGTTTAATTAATGAAACTTCAAATTTATTCCATGGCTATAGCCACCTGCTCGATTACTATAACTTTATAGTAAGAATTGATTATGGTAAATTTAATAATAGGATTTTGTAATTCTTCATAAGGATTGTTTTGTGTCTCCCTTAGGAACCTTGTTGAAAGGCTTCATGTATAGTTGGGAATTTGAAGAAACAGCATTGAATGCCCAGATCAGTTTTTGGGGTATTGTGTTCTTAACAATATTAAGTATTATTATTCTTGGTCATGGGCTGTTTTTTCATTTATTCAGGTCTCTCTTTTTATTTCAGCATTTAAAAAATTTAATTTTATTGTAGATTGATAAATTGTATGTAATTATGAAGTACAAAGTGATGAAATAATATATAAACAAAAGGTGGAATAATTAAAATATTAGCATGCCTATCCCCTCAAATAATTTAATGACTTTTTTGTCAAAGGGATAAAAAATGCCTCTCTATAAATATTTTTCTGGTTGTTGATGGACCTTTGTTTTATTTATTCCTATGTGGTGATGAGAATTGAACCCAGTGCCTCACACTATAGGCAAGCACTATACCACTGAGCCATAACCCCAGCCCTTAAATGACTTTAAAAACAAACAAACAAACAAACAAATTTTCTTTTTTTTTTTTAGTTGTAGATGGACACACTACTTTTATTTTTTTAAAATAAAAATAGGCAAGTGCTAGATCTACCACTGAGCTACAACCAAAGTCCTGAAAAGACTTTTTGATGATCACTTTCCTTCTTTGTATGTACTTGTTGCCCAGTATTTCAGTTCTACCTTTTTATCTCTCAAATTAGTCTTTATTATTGTTGCTACTTTTTATGCTCAGTACTTGATTATGTGTGCTCACAACTTTACCTTTTTTCTTCTTTACCATTTACCATTACATCTTTTTTTAAAAAAAAATATTATGTGCATTTTTAACCTTTATTTTATTTATTTATTTTTATGTGGTACTGAGGATCAAACCCCAGCCTCACTCATGCTAGGCAAGCACTCTGCAACTGAGCTATGACCCCAGCCCACCATTGCAACTTATATCCATTCCTTTCTCCTAAAATATATTCTTTTTTTAAAAAAAAATATTTTTTTAGATGTTGATGGACCTTTATTTTATTCATTTATTTTTGTGTGGTGCTGAGAATCAAACCCAGTGCCTCACACATCTAGGCAAGTGTTCTACCACTGAGCCACAACCCCAGCCCCTAAAGTATATTCTTTAGTAAGTTTTTCAGTGAATGTCTGTTCACTATACAGCAAGCTTCAACAAAAATACATGTTATCCTTGGTTTTTATTTTTTATTTTTATCTTTTTGATGCCAGAGTTCAAATCCAGGGCCTCACATACGCTAGGCAAGTCCTCTACAACTAAGCTATATCTCCAGGTCCTTATCCTCATTATTTGATATAGTTTAGCTTACTAGGGGAATTTTAAGTCAATAATTATTTTTCTCAATGTTTCAAAGCTATTTGTCATCTATCTTCTATTGTTACTGTTAAGAAGTCTGCTATTAGTATAATTGCCTTTGTAGGTAATTTTCATTTCTGCCCGGTTGCTGTTGAGATCTCGATTTGATTTTGGTGTTCTGCAGTTTCATTG